GCTTGAATTGTAAGCAAAAACAACACATCATGTTGCCTTAAAGAATCCCATTCATTTTGAATAGAATCAGTGTATCGACCAAGATTAAATGTCACCTATTTTATTGAACAATAATAATTAAATCTAATCACTAATAAGCGGAAGGTGCGATGTAAATATATAGAAATTTATTTTTTACATCAGCTTTGACTTGTGAAGGTTTACTTTCACCGAGATTTGGTTTAGAAACTTCTACAATACTAATCAATGCAACAATGTGACCGTTATGGATGAGAAAATATTATGAAACGACAATACTTTAAAAATACCTACCTAAATTGTTCAATCTCTATTGCCATTCGTGCCCAACCTGTAAATTCAGTTCTACCAGACGGATATATTATTCTTGGAGCCAATCGCTTGACAACATCTTCAATGTCTTGTCTAATTTCATAAGTACTTTCCAGACGAAATAAATTAAAGTTTCTTAAAAGATAATCGTGAATAGTGAGGAATTGTAAATTGAGTTTTGGAAGAGCTAGTGGGGTATCACCGGAATAAAATTGGGTTTTCACAACTGCATCATCAAAAAGAGCATTCTAAATTATAGATTTATGTATTATATAATTATAATTTGATATAAGATATTATTAAATATAAACATGTGAAAAAAAGATAATAATAACCTCATCTGGGTATAATGGAAGAGCATTTATCGTATCAATTTGACTTGTCCTCTTCTCAAACTTGCCGATCAAGACTTCTATCAAAAAATTTTTGTCATAGTATTCATTTGATTCATCATCAACTAATTTTTTTGTCCTTATATTCAGAAAATCACATAATTGAATTATTGTTTGATGATCAAGAAGCTCAAAATGGCATAACAAATCTTCTCGCGTTTCTATTGCAGATAAATTTTAAAGAGCTAACAATTGCAATGAATCCTTAAAATGTCTGAATGCAGTATGCTATAAAAAGTAAAACAAATAAATGTTATTTCATATTAATCGAATTTAATAAGAAGAATTATTAAATGTGCATGCCTGCAAGGACATGAGCTTTTTACAATGTAACTCTGTCATTTGATCATCTGTCAACGCTAATCCGGTATGATCATGAATTTCGAAACCGGCATAAAACTTTAATATTTCCAAAAGTTGCTTAAAAAGTTCACTGAAAAGATAGATACATTAATTATGTAAGAAATATAAATAATATAAAAATTAAGGATAGGATACTAACCTTTCTTCTTTACGTTTAAGTAATGGAGCTAATTTGCATAGAATTAATATTTGATGATCTTCAAGAAGTGTGTTGAAATATCTTCTTGTTGGTAATTGGGCTTCAAGATCGATTAAAAATTCCAAAAAACGTTCACAATATGCAATAGCATCATCATCGGCTAAATTGGTTGAATTAAGAAAGTTTAGATCTTTACTATTTATAAATAAGGGATAGAATGATAAATAAATATTTACCATCACCAGATTCAGGTATTGAATATAAAATTTTTACGAATCCTTTCATAAGGTTACTTATCCAAGTCCTTTGAAATATAAGAAGTTCTTTTTGCGCATTATCTAATTAAGAAATATTTAATAACTAGTAAGAATATTTTATAATTTTTAAACGGCAAATAACTGAAAAGTATTACAACAAGTACCAACCAAGAATTACTGACTACCTGCTTTTTTAAACCTTTTTGCAAAAGCGTTCCACCTTTTTTTAAGATCTTTATCAGATGCAAACTCTTGTTCACGAAGTGATGAAGAGCCAAAACAATGCCATGTTACAAGTGACACCAAACTATTAAAAAGAATTTGCCATAAGGACATAAAATTTGCATAAAATGAAAAATAACTTAAAGAATAAGCAAAACAAATACATCATGCATTCTGTCCTTAATAACTGGTTTTCCAAACTTTGGAAAGCATGAATCAAGAAGACTAATAGGAATCGTCTAACTTGAAGTGTAAGAGTATCCGACAATGGAGATATAGTTAAGCGAAGTACGCGTATGAAAAATGAAGAAAACTGATCAGGCATGTTTACGAAGCAGTCTATTAAAATGTACGAGTTAATTCACGAGTATTAAGTTGATAACATTATAAGAAATAATCATAATACCCCAAACAGATACGCGTTCTCTGAATTTCTCATTAACCATTAAAACGATAGATAAAACATGTGCTAAAGAAGCCTTTTCACCATTAAAGTTTGGCCAAAGATACTATAAATAAAACAAAATTTAATAAAAAATATATGAAAGCATGACAAGTATTATATTTTACGAGTAATTTTACCTTTTCCAGGTACTGACTGAACTCAAGCAGCATTAATTTTTTAGTTTCAAAACGATTACGTTCCAATTCCTTAAAATAAATCTCTTCGACTATATTCGGATCCCATTCTCGTGCAGTAGGATCTTTTGCCAGCCAATATTCCTGAGCCAACAAAGAAATCGAGTCTTTCTGTATTTCCTGGAGCGTAGGGTGGTATACCCCACCCCTCGTACTTTCGTTTGGTGGAGCGTGTGGTGGTAAAGTCGTATGAATCATTATTCTGTTTTTCACAAATTTAGTTGGTTGATCATATATTTCATGATCGGCAAGATCGATTAGGGCTGTTAAAGCAGATCAATTGAGCCGACGGTCTGGGGTTATGCAAGTTGGTAGATTCTACGATCTTTTCTTGAACATTATAAAAATAACCAATTTTGATGATTTAGTTTTTATTTTAATTCTACAAGTTTGTAGAATTAAAGTTCAAGAAAAATTTTAATAAAAACAATTATCTGGATTCTGTT